TATGGTGAAGGACACTGACAAGAAGGATGTGCTCCATTAGAAGCCTGGCAGAGAGAGTGAGTGTTAATTAAAATAATTTACAAGTATTTATTAGTGTGTTGTTTTAAGGTCATATTTAATTTCTTGAGTGAGAATTTAAGTGAGCCAGGATACAGTAATGTTGTCAAGATAAACTTTGATGTTGACTTAAAGGTTTGGTTGATTATGATTTCACTTTTTAACTTTAGTTAGTGTGTGATGTTGCTGTTAGAGCATAAACAACATCTGCAAAGTTATGACGCTCAAAGTTCAATGCAAAGTGAGATATTTTCTGCCAAAAAACAAAACAAAGCGCTGTTTAAGGACTACAAAAAAGGATGATAGGGACTACAACGAGCTCCTTACCGGGTTTGTGACATCACTAACCTCGATGTTTACATAAATGTTTACATATTTCTGAGGGAGCGGCTTCATAGAACCAGGAAGTCAACAGACCGTTTTGACGAGAATGGAAATAGTGGTGCAGAATAAAGGTGAAATATGTGAAATATGTTTTTTTAAAACGAAGTATGAGAACATGTTACACTGCACTCCATAAACACAATCAAGCCTTCGAAAAAAGCTGATCAACCACCCTTTTAAGAAAGCCCAGCTAGAATGTTTAAAGAAGTTTAAATAGCTTGAAGTAGTAAGTAGCTTAAAACTGGGTATCACGCACTAAATAAACTGAGAATCACAAAATACCAAACTTTCAAGTCATTCACAACACAACAAACTCATGCAGAAACATGTGGCTTGTTGCTAGGAGATACGTGACAAATAAAAACAATACGTATTTTAAAATTGGCTCATAATATCAAACATGTTTGATGTCGTCTGACTAGATAGAATCATAGTCTGAAGGTAAAAAATCTGAATCTGAGCCCTTCACAAACAATACTCTGCGAAACCTGTAAACTCAGACTGGCCAAAACCTGCAGACTGGCTCTGACTTTCAGCAACTAGTGTTTACACGTCCATCGTCCAGACTGCAGACCTGGGCAAAATTTGTTCTCAACGGTTTGAAGGTCTGAGCCTAATTTGGTGGAAGTGGCTTGAATGCTCTAGGGTCTTATGTCTTAGAAGAAGAATATTAAGTTAAAATAGAATATCAGCAAGTTAATTCTCTCAAATCAACATACATTTAATACCAGTGTTGGGGAAAGTTACTTTTAAAAGTAATGCATTAATAGAATGGGATTAAATACATAAAGGATATTTGTGTTGTTTAACATTTAATTATTGCAGGTTTGCGTCATATTCTGAGTTGCATTTTTTAAATTCATTTTCAGGAATACTGAATCTGTGTTTTTTTTTTGTGAGAGATGAATTAATGCATATTCATATTTATTTTAGAACTACAGTAACATCTGATTTCTCTCAACATGGGGACAGGAGAGCTGTCAATCAATAAATTGGAAAAAAAAGTAACTTGCGTTACTTATTTGAAAAACTCAGATATTCTCTTGTAAATTAAAAAGTAATGCGTTACTTTACTAGTTACTTGAAAAAAAGTAATCTGATTACGTAACTCGCGTTACTTGTAATGCGTTACCCCCAACACTGATTAATACTAAAGTGATTATCAAAGAGTCAGTTATTAAATGAAGTCATTATTGAAAGGGTAACCTTTCAGGCATGAGAGCAGGAGTGACGCAGGCAGCCAGCAGAATGTCAGTGAGTGTTTCGTTCATGTCCTTCCTGCTGGTGCTCATGTACAGCTCTTCCAACTGACTGCTGATGGATGCCATGTTGGGCTGACTCAACCTGTCGAACAGAGGACAGGGTTATCAAACTGGCTGAATTCCACTTGGTTTTCCAAAGACTGTATTTATTTTTTTAAAACAAAGCTTCTTCAAATTGTGCATTTCTGTAGCCTATACCTTCCATTGTATCTTACCTGTTTATCAGACCTTTCACAGTGCGCTTCAGTTTCTCCAGCTCGGCTTTGCGTTTGCTGTCCACGGCTTCTCGTAAGTGAGGGGGAACATACTTGCCTGCTGTGGCAGGATTCTATATATAAAACACACACACAAATATTAGCTTCAAAACATTCTTCTGATGAGTGTGCGGTGTGGGGAACGAAAGAAAAATAACCAATACTGACTTTATGACACTGAATAATGGAATAATGACACTTTTGTCTTCTGTAGAGCTGCTTTATAGTTGAATTAAACTTGTTTCATGACTGATGAACTTTGCAACACTGACACCACTATTAAAATAAATTTCATCAACACTGAACTAAATTGAGCTGAATAATGACACTATTGTCCTTGGTTGAGCTGTTTCACAGCTGAAATTGAATTTATTCCTTAATTGATTACTTTTGCAACATTAACACTGTTACTTTGGTGTTTATTACTGTGAAGCTGCTTTGAAATAATTTGTAATTGAATAAAGCGTTTCATAAATAAATGTGATTTGAGCATTAGGGAGAGTTAAACTTAAATAATAATAAAATATAATATCCAGATTTAGAATGACATACGGGCTCCTGGCTTTCAGGTGTTTTTTGTTCAGAGTCAACTTCCTCCCCATCATCATTTTCCGCTGATGCATCTGTATCCTCCTCTTCTTCATCTCCTTCCATCTCATCTTTTATCTGGTTGTCATCTTCTACATCCTCCTCTTCTTCCATCTGTGCATCATCCTCTCCATCACCTTCCTCTTCATCACTGTAACCTTCATCCTCATTGTCATCCTTGTTCTCATCGTCTGTCATTTGCCCGTCGCTGTCCTCGTCCAACTCATCAAAGTCATCTTTAGCTTTATCAATGTCCATTTCTTCATCACTCTCATACAGTCCCGTTGCAGATGCTCCAGGCTCAAGAAACCCTAAAATGTAATCGAGTCCATCGTTGGTGAATGACTGAGGTATACTCTTTTTGTTCTTTCTTTTATTCAGCCCAAGGCGTTTCTCTAATCTCTTTATTTCTTTGTCCTCTTCGATATTCGCCTCTAATAGAGCCCGCTTTCTGCTCTCGTTCAGACTAGATTTCTTTCCCTGTTTTGGCAGATCTTCGGAGAAGTGGACTTTCCTTTTTGTCGTCTCTTCTTCATTGTCTTTAGTATTAACACTGTCTTTATTTGCCTTCTGCTGTTTCTGAGCGGCATTTTTAAGATTTCCAGTCGTCTTCTGGGCTGGTTTCTGTGTCTTTTCCTCCTCAGCAGGAGTATTTGGAGCAGGTTCCTCGCTGGGGTTCTGCGGTGACTGACCCATGTAGCGACTTTTCTTTTTGGCTTTCTTTAACTTACGTTTCTCTTTGCGCAGCTCTTTTCTACTTTTCCTCTGTACGAATAATCCTCTTTGGTCGCTTTCATTTTCACCGAAGCCGCCTTTGCTCTTCACAAAGTTATTAACGGAATCCTTGAATTTCTGAAGTTTATCCCTGTGTGTTTGCTTTCCAGCTTTCACTTTGCCCTTGCGCTGCGCCTTTGCCTTCATTTTCTAAGTGAAATATATCTGGCCGTGAATATAATTTTTATTTGTTGTAAATGGTTGCGTGTTTACAGACTGAATATCGCAAATTATCCCATGAAAGTTCTCAGAAAAGACAACACATGTAGAAGCCGGAGGTCGCCATTGATGCCGCTTCTTCGTTAGACGTTATGACAGTAGAGAAAAGAAAATTGAGTGGCTTTATCGCCATCTACTGAGTTGGAGCGTAACGTTACTTGTCGAAATATGAGTTAGCAATTTAATAACAAGTATATGTGCGTTTAATTAAACTACATAAACATATAAAGGTTTTGTTTCTAATATATATAGGCCTCTTTTCATCTTGGAGACACCAGTAGCCTAAGACATTTACTCATAACCTGATATAGCCTACTATTTGATGCCAGCATTATATTATCATTAGTAGTAGTAGTTGTAGTAGTAATAGTAGTAGTATTGACTGGATCGATAGATAATACATTTATGGAAGGATTATTATTGGTAGTGGAAGTAGTAGTACTGTAGAGCAGTGTTTCCCAACCTTTTTTTATTCGTGGCACCCTTTGGAAATTTTAACAAACTTGTGGCACCCTACAAAAAAAATTATTTTTTTTACACGGCACCCCTGCTCTCGACAGACGGCACCCCGGTTGGGAAACACTGCTGTAGAGGACACAGGTCTTTGTGTAAGCTTCCTAGCTTCTTTATGTACAGAGCTGGTTAGATTACTTACAAATTATGATCTGTTACTGATTCCAAATTACATGACAAAAATTTTAGTTAGTAATGTAATCCATTACATTTAACCTTTTTGGTAATATAATCAGACTACTTTTTGATTACTTTTAGATGGAATATTTTATTTGCTTACCTGCATGTCATGTGAACATAACCAATGTCAGAGAAACGGGAACATGCAATTGTGATACTTCATTATTAAAATATTTATTTTAAAACCTCAGGGGTACTTCAAATAAAAATATATTAGGTGAAAGAGGATCAGATGACAAAAAATTGGTAAATTTGTTTGAAAGATAAACAAAAGTAATACATGGTAAAACAACAGAATCAGTGATAATTCAAATAAAAATGTACATGTTCATCAGTAGCTGATGCACTTCTTAAACCTGAAATGATTTTTGTAAATCCAGTGGTCATTGCTGTGTAGATTGACTGTGACAGTGACTAATGACTGACCTTTTTATGAATGTCCACAAAACTGAAGACTTTCTGAGTGTATATAAGAGGTAGGCTATTGTAGCACACATATAGCACACGTATATATGTGTGTGTGTGTGTGTGTGTGTGTGTGTGTGTATATATATATAAACAAAAAACATATTTATATAGTTCTATGTTTGGCAAAGTGTACTGTTATGCTTTCTCAGTATAACGATTCAGCTACGTCAGACCTGTCCAAAACAACGCTGAACACATTTTGAATTATGTAAATCTTACATATAATTCGACTTCACTCTCAGTGACAGCACACCTGTGTGCGTGAAGCCTCTTGTCCTGTCGTGTGTCGCTGAATGATGACGCAGTATATTTTGACTGTTTTGGTGGTTTATTTGGCGCTGAGACGCGAGCGCTGTCAGTCAGTCAGTCGAGTTCTACTCCGGTGGTCAGTTTATCTCACAGAGGTCCTTTCTCTTACAGCGAATGGAATCGCCACAAAAATGCGTTGCTAATGAATGTGTTTCTGCAATATGAAGAATGGAAGAAGACGATGTGACGATTAGAGAGCAGAATTTCCACAGCCAAGTGCGCGAGTACATTGTGAGTAACCTTACAGAGAGACTGATTAGAGTACAACACACTGACCGTGTTTGCGCAGTGTTCCCCACTTCAACTCGCATGTAGCCTCATTTACATATATTTCTTAAACTTAAAAGATGAATGGGTTTGCTATAATTGAAATGTATCATAATTTCTCAGTAGAAACCGTGGTGTATATGAGTGAGGGTCATTGGGCTAGGTAGCTAGCTAGCATGCTAGCTTGTCGTTAGTTACAGTATTGAGCTAATTAATCCCTTTCTGTGGCTATTGTGGCACATTTGATTCACTATTGTTGTATATATATTTATGCATGATGCTCTTTGACTGTTATGTTTTTGTGATATATTTTATTGAATCTCTAGTAGAATTAGATCAGACGCAACATTCACTGACCAGTATTATGTGGTAGTTAGATCAGTTGAGTAACGGTAATCATAACGGTTCTACACTGACAGCTTGTTTACTGTTTGTTGTTGGTGTACACATGAGCATTGCAGATTTGCAGTGTTTATTTTGGGTGTCAGGATGTAATGTGTCTCTCCTTTCTGCGTAGGCAAACCTGTTCTTATGTGTCATAGATGAATGGATTGCATGATCTGCAAGTGATTAAATATCACGAATTAATCTGTCAGAGCAAACTGGCATGTCTGACTGAATAATTTTTGCAGCCTTTGCTTGTAAGAACAGCCAAAAAATCTTCAATGTTGTTTATAGTGATCCCAGCTGCTGTCTCTGCCTTCTAAATGAATATCAATGTTCAACTGAATGAATTAGTGGTCAACGTTGTTCTTGATCCACATTTTGAACAACCAAGAAAGTGTTTCTGTAATCTGTAGTGTAGAGAGTGAAGCAATGAAAAACATTAACAAAAGATATTCACTTTGTCTCAGTGATGCAGTTTTGACGCTTTTAAGTTTATTTTCTTATGATAGCAGTCATTTATTTTAAGAGTAACACCTGACATTTCAGTTGAAAGTTTACCTCTAACTTTAGAGTGAATGTAGAAATATGTGCAGTGTATTTCAGAGAGTTTAAATTCTTTTTGTGTGTAGAAGTGAGATAGCTGTTATCAGCTGCATACAATGTAAGTTAGTCTAATGAAAGTCCGTGCCATGCAGAGATTTCTGCTTTTCTTGCTATTTAGCAATGCTGTGATGATAATGGGCAAGCAGTTTTTAAACTGCCCCATTTATGGATTAGTTTAGATGAAATTGAAATACAATAATCTTGACAAATTTGGGCCTTTTTCTTTATTTTCTTTATAAAAGGGCATCTTTATTTTATAAAGCTGTTTTGTCTACAGTCAGAATTCAGCCAGTCACTCACTATTCTTTATTAAACATGGATTTTCAGATTGGTGATTGCTCGTGCTAAGATCTCTGTTGCTGCTTAATAGGTTCTGAGTGGTTATTAATGCAGGATTTAATAATAAGAATGGCCTAATTGCTCAGAGCCATCTAGACATTGTGAGAGTTGTAATTGTCTTGGAAGCATCAGTTAGAATGGTTTGAAAATGATAAACGAATACATAATGCTTTGCACCATATGCTATTTATTTCCAGCACAAGTGTTTATGATGATCTATAGCTTTCACAGAATAACATTATTCCTGTGAACTTTATAGCTGTTGGAGGAAATGGAAAAACATTTATGTATTGTAAATATATATTTTAAAAGAAGCCATGTTTAATGATAAATATAAATTTAAAAAAATGTGAATATTGTGCTATATGTTTTGGTGTGTATTTTGAGTGCCATCTTCCAGTGGAGCTCACAAAACGTCTGTGCTTCACTCTGCAAAGGGTTAAGCATATTATTTATGCTTTAATAGAAGTTATTTGTGATTTCCAAAGCAACCTGAGGTATGAATTTCTTCTAATCTGATAATCTGAAGTCCTTGTATTGACAGATCCTTCACCCTGTTGTAGGTTTATTTTCAAGGTGGAGCACAGTTGCATTTATGTAATGCAGAACTCTGTTAGTGCTCTGTAGTTCTGTGAGATTACAAGCAAGGTGTAATACGAGCAAATGTTCAAGCATGAATGGCATGTTTACATATGCACATCCATCAGTCCGTCCTCTTAAAATACACTCCAGTCTCCTGGACACTGCTGATTCATGCCATATAACATTGCTACAGATTACTGATCAGCATATTACTGATGATTAAAACAGAGGTACTTTACTTTGTCTTTCAGTCGCACTATTACTGCTTAGGCCTATAAATACAGGCAAGACTTAAATTTACATTACATTTAAATTTAGTAATTTAGCAGACACTTTTATCCATAGTGACTTGGACAATGGAAGCAATCAAAATCAACAAAAGAGCAATGATATGCAAGTGCTGTGACAAGTCTCAGTTAGCCTAATGTAGTACAGGTAGCAAGGGTTTTGTTTTTCTTTAAGTTATATAATCGGGGCTTGACATTAACTTTTTTTACTCACCAGCCACTGTGGCTACTAGTGGTTTTCCAAAATTACTAGCCACTCAATTTTTTCACCGGCCATAATTTTGTTGCTGGGAAATTACATTTTGAATTATTAAAGTTCACGACTGCATACTAAGATTGACTTAAATTGATTTCCAGGTAATTTTTGCCTAAAAGGCTTTTTTTTACTAACCTTATTAAATGTATGCATAATTTTTCATATCAAATAGTTAAATACATTTTACTAATGATTTCAGTTAATATAATGAGACACTATAGGACTGTTACCAATCAAATGAAATCAGAATCAGCAAAACAGATCTTTCCACTGCAGAATAAAATGAAGCAGCTGAAGTGGCATTGCATTTTTACACAGACATATGTAATGAAGCGCAAATGTAGCATGCCATAAATGTCATAATACATTTACGCTGCAAAATTACAACTGCATAAATAATGTTATGTTTTAAATTACAATTTTAAATTAAAAGTTGTTTTCATATACAAATATGAAATACTTTTAAATATGAAAGTAAACCGCCAGCAGGTGGCAGCAAGTGACTTTCTTATTGAGTGAGTCGCTAGCTGTGTCCCAATTCAAAGACCGCATCCTTCGGAGGACGGGTCCTTCGAAGGATGCGGCCGACACGGCCTTCGAAGGACGCTCCGAGTCTAGCCTTCGCAGAATTTCCTGATTGCGCCAGCAGGTGTTCACGATTAATGCTCCTGTCGCGTGGCAACGGTGCAAGAAGAGAGCTGCCATATATGTTATTTGTTAATGAAAACGAAAATAACTGGAGCCTGAATTGTTAGTTCTTGACTTTTAATGACCGAATTACACTTTAAATGTAAGACTTAGTTTAATATTGTAATTATTTAATATAAAGCGATTAAATGTCGACTTATATCTTACCAAAATGTGATTTTATGTTGTTTATTCTATTATTGATTATTATGTACATAAATGGACCATGCTGAACATATTTAAACAGGTTTTCAACCATGTTTAGTTTTATGTAGCTGAATATAAAAAGTTAATTTACAAACGTTACTGCCGCTCGTCTACTGCAGCTGACAAAGTTGCTAGGCAACAAGAAGAGTCCTCCAGAGGCTAGACCTGTCCGAGTGCTTCGGAAGCAGCCTTGATATGGTTCGCAGTTGTAGCAACTTAGCAATAAACTTTATTCGTTTCATCTCCAAAATAACGCAAAAAGTGGTGGAGTGTAACGAAATACATTCCATAAGTATTCACATACTGTTGTAATTTATAGACCGAATAGACTCCATAAAATCCCTAATATACATTCCTATTTCTCATCAACAGATGCAATTAATTCGCCCTTACCTCTGAGATCAGGAAATGCAGTCACGAGATCTGGAATCTTCCCCGGTGTCCGAGTTGCTCAGCTGAGTCCGAGCCTCATAAGGCTCGAAGGCAGTTCTTCAGTTTCAGAATAATAGGTTACCTCAAAAATAAATTACTCAGAGACTTTTCCTAAAATAAAGTTTTAACGCATCACCATCTGTAATGGTTTCGCTTTATTAGTACACAATAACTCATAAGTAAAAATGAAAGTAACAGCGAGTAAGTTTTCACCATCGGAGTGCGGCCTCGTCTGAAGCTCTCCTTGGCATTTTATAGCCTTGCACACAATTTGCATTAACATCATCAATGCCATCCCTGCATTCTTCCCTTATTTGGTATTGTCTTTGCATACATACACAGACAGGATACATAAGCTGAATAGGGCAGCTTGACGGGGGAATCTCTTGTAGCCTATAGCTGTGTCCCAATTCAAAGACCGCATCCTTCGGAGGACGGGTCCTTCGAAGGATGCGGCCGACACGGCCTTCGAAGGACGCTCCGAGTCTAGCCTTCGCAGAATTTCCTGATTGCGCCAGCAGGTGTTCCCGATTAATGCTCCTGTCGCGTGGCAACGGTGCGAGAAGAGAGCTGCCATATATGTTATTTGTTAATGAAAACGAAAATAACTGGAGCCTGAATTGTTAGTTCTTGACTTTTAATGACCGAATTACACTTTAAATGTAAGACTTACTTTAATATTGTAATGACGTGAAAAAATACAAAATATAAAATGATTAAATGTCGACTTATATCTTACCAAAATGTGATTTTATGTTGTTTATTCTATTATTGATTATGTACATAAATGGACCATGCTGAACATATTTAAACAGGTTTTCAACCATGTTTAGTTTTATGTAGCTGAATATAAAAAGTTAATTTACAAACGTTACTGCCGCTCGTCTACTGCAGCTGACAAAGTTGCTAGGCAACAAGAAGAGTCCTCAGTAGGCTAGACCGGTCCGAGTGCTTCAGAAGCAGCCTTGATATGGTTCGCAGTTGTAGCAACTTAGCAATAAACTTTATTCGTTTCATCTCCAAAATAACAAAGTGGTGGAGTGTAACGAAATACATTCCATAAGTATTCACATACTGTTGTAATTTATAGACCGAATAGACTCCATAAAATCCCTAATATACATTCCTATTTCTCATCAACAGATGCAATTAATTCGCCCTTACCTCTTTCAGGAAAT